GGAACCGGGGAGGAGGCTATGCGTCGGGTCTCCGGGGTGATCCAATGGGAATTGCATTGATCTGGTGCTTAGCGCTGATCCTTATCAAATGGGTCGCTTCTAAGGTAGGCCATTTTATTATGCCTTTTTGACTGACTGGGTTTATAAGTAGCCTGAGAGAAAACAAGTCATTAAGAACTTCACCAGTACTTATTTTTCTCTTTTAAATCTAATCTGTTTTGGAAACACATCATTCGTCGTTTAAGATGGTGTTTCTTAAGCGTTCATACGTGATTTTGTAGCTCTCCGCTTTTGCCTGCCTTGAAGTGGGAATTCCGAGTGTGTTTGTAGCAGTGCCAGCGAGGAGACGGGAAAAGGGCTCTGAAATGGCTTCTGAATGGCGGGGGTTTGCTTGCCTCCTTGGCTAACATCTTCGGTTTTACAGCGCTCTAAAGGCTTTGTGAAAATAAGGAAAAACAATTTTAAACATAGTGAGAATAATACAAATTGGCGTGTTTTTGCTTCCCGGACAGGATATCCTTTTTGTATTGTTGATTTCAGGGTTACGGGAGTGGAAATACCAGTTTTGTTTGCTTAGGTGAAATACCGGCTACTTCGCTTGCTTTTTTAGCCTTTCCATTCGAGATGCTTGTGCTTTGAAAAATGTGTGCTAACATTAGACAAAATTAGGAGTTTCTGCTCTCTCATTCTAAAGGACGTAAATGTCCCCATAATGTATATCGTGGTAGTAAATGTAGGTTGAATTGGTGTCTGGAGATGAGACCAGGCTCTTCTCAGTATAGCTCGCTATCTAACTTGGAATTAATTCCAAAAGGAGGAATAAATTTAAGTTTAGGATTGTGAAGGAGGACCAGAATGGTTGGAGAGAATGAGGGAAACTGAGAAAAGTCAGCATTCATGCACTTGTATATAGATTTTTTTTTACTAATACACAATATTTTAACATTTTTGTACAATTAACAGGAGAATCTGAACAAACATGAATTTGAATTTGTTGTGGAAACAAGCTTTGCCAGGTATCTGTGCCCATACTCTTCAGTCATTGCCAATAACACAGTTCTAAATTTACTAAAAGCAAAACCAGTCAGGCTTAGTTGCTAGCAGTTGTGGTAACTTTTGTCACATCAAAAAAAAGACCAGGATATGCTAATGGATGTTCACTTGTAACTGAAGGCAGATTCTAAATGCCAGAGTTTTACAGCTGGTATGCTAGCCTAGTAAGTCACCTGCATTTTACTGGTATGTTGTTGAATTGCTGTTTTTCTGAGACTAGACGTAAGAAGCCTGTTTAAGGATTATGTCTCATTCAGTTTGGTCAAAGGTTCTGTTCAGGTGGGAAAAATAGGAATTTCCAGTAGCTGACATAATACAGTTAACCATAAATAGCAGAGGTTTTTATATTTATGTTTTTAAATGTGCTAGTAGGTGTTTCTTTTCAAGAATTATTTGTTTATATTCATCCAATTATCCTATTTTGCTGTTGTTTTGAGTCCTTCAGCCGTTCTGATTTAGTTTCTAAAGGTAATACTCCTGTGTTTCTGTCCTCACTTAAGTCAATCACTTAGGCTTTTTTTTGACTGTACTTTTTCTAAGCCATTTTCAAGCTTTTGTTTTGTATATTTTTGTTAAATCTTGAAGTTTTTTTGGTGACAAAACTTTGGGTAAATCTTACGATGCCATATGATACGTATCTAAGGGTGTATGAGAGAAAAAACTTACAGATGCTTGTTAGATGTAGTTATCAATGATGTTGATAAGTATAATTCAACCAATAGCTAAGTTTATAAATTATTGCCATCCATCTTGGGAGATGATCATATGAAATAGCTTTATATAGAAGAGAGTAAAATTGCCACATTCAGATATTTGAACGGGGGGTGTGTGTCTTACCCTTATTGCTGATTAATATTGCCTTCCTGAAATTAAATACAATTTCTTATCACTGGTTTGATAAAATTTCAAAATACTGCTTTGAACTCCAGTGAAACATAAAGAAAATAGTTACTACTCTTTTTGCAGTGGCTTATATGAGTTTGACGATAGTTACTGAAGTGCCTTAAAAGAACATTTTTTAAGACTTTAGTGAGTAAAATCTTCGTGGTATCTTGTGGAAGACTGTGGATCTTATGTTAGTATGGAACTTTTAATTACTGAAATTGTTCTAAGAATTATGATAAATGACAGTCTCGCTTTTGAAATACAATAGTTGGAGAAATCCGGTCTAACTAGTTAGTCGTTCTAGGGACTTCTAGTTGATAAACTGTCTTACAATCTTAAATTGTTTCCAAGTCTGTATATTTGAGGCAGCATAACTAGCAAATTGCAGTTGCCATGATAAAACAGCTTCTCTAAACTTGTTCTCAATTTCTCTTTCTGAAAACAACCCTCTGATTTTTGGGCAAATAACTTGGGCGGAAAAGCCAAGTAGGGAAAAGTACCTGACTGGCTGTGTTCCTGTTCTCTGGCTTTTCTTTCTCTGATTTCTGAATAAACAACTGAGTTGCAAAATGAGAGTTGTGCACTCCATCAAAAAGCACAGATGGTTCTTTCTGATGGGAGGTACTGACTTTCGGAGACCAATAGCTCCATCAGCTTCTTTCTGCTGTTACAGAATGAGACCAGCAGTTGTTTCACTTGAGGGTCTGAAAGCTGGCTCGCTGACTTTCACCTAAATGGAAGTGCCCAACAGTAATGCTGGTGCTCTGCTCTGAACTGGATTGGGAAGTCCTTGTGATAAAACTGATACATCAGTGGAAACGTTTCTGTTTGGCACAAACAGCAGCAGGTGCTTGGTTTCCAAGTGTTACATCCATATGCCATACTCCCTAGCATCACTGAACTAGTTTCCCTTTGAAGATACATCTGTGTGCTATTTTGGCATGCCATTCCTATTGCATGGCCTTTAATAACTTCCTATACTCTTGTGAAAAGTATCTACTAAAAGTAGATACTGCCTTCACCTGTTCTTGTGGAGTCCTTGCATCATTATTGTTGTTAAAGGATTAGTGGATCTTCCACTTTAGTTTGAACTTCTTCCATTCACTTTCCTTAAAGATGTGACAAAAGAGGAGAAATGAAAGCTTTTCTTACTGTGTTGCGGAGAAATGAAAGCTTTTCTTACTGTGTTGCCCTTTGGGAGAATAAATGACACTAATATGAAACTGAAATGTAAGGTGAGGTTTCTAATATGAAACTGAAATGTAAGGTGAGGTTTTTAAAGTGCAAGCACAGTGTAAACAATCCTTCCCAGTCATCTTTCTGACATCAGTCTTTGCTGCTGAAGCAAAACAGCCCACCCAGTTCAGATGGCTGTGCCTGGAAGGGAGTGAAGTGGTTAAGGTAATCATTTGAGGAACTTGTTGAATCACTTGGAGTCCAGTAAATATTCCCACTGGACCAAGTTGTCCTTGTGCTTGAAAAGGGAACCTGCCTAAACACGTTCGGATAGTCTACAGTTTGAGCAGTAGTAATTCTGTCTGCCTGTTGGAATGATGCTTATTTGTTTGAGATTTTGTACAGAGGGTCCAGGAGTTCAGTATGCTTTATGGTTGTCAGCTGGTACAAAGCTTCAGGTAGACCGAAGAGGTAGAAGAGATCTAAAAATAAAATATTATGCTAAATGAGTTAACAGTATTAACAATAATATATTTCAAAGTGCCAGAAGTCAGTCTCTGTCCATGAAGATTTTAGCCGAGGTTTGGAAGTGGGCTGATACAGTGTATACTGCAGTCATCTGAACTGTGTAACTAAGGTAAATTTTTAGTAAGTATAATCTTGATGTCTTGGTGTAGGCTACAGAGGCTGGGCCTTTGGTAAGCAGTGAGGGAGGAGGCATTTTTGGTGGTCATCAAGGGTAGAATCCTGGTGATTAAATTGTTTGAACTGTTGAGCGCTTAACAGGAACTTTAGTTCTTCAAGACATATTTGCCTTTCCACTTACAAATTTGCTGCATGTGACAATTCACATCTCAGTAAAAGCTGATGCATTAAATCTGGTCTTTCTGTTTGCTGGATTTAAAAAGTGGAATCTGGGCAGCGTATCTAAAAACCATAGGTAGGGTAGATTAAATTATCCCTTTTTTCTTTTTGTCTTGCATTTTTCTGTAGTAGTGTGTAGTAGTAGTACACTGGCAGTATTATTTGAAGTGGGAAAATAGTTGATATACCTCAACCTGCGGAACATAGTCTGTTACCTCTTTGGAGTGTGAGCTGACACAAAGCAACCCATGGCTGGATGAGCATAATATTATTTAATCTACCTACCTATCACAAGTTGCTAAACACCTCTATAGTATTAGCTCCCTCCTCTGTCTCCAACTGCCCACCACAGTGCTGTTACTGTCCTACCTCACTTATGTCTACCTGCTGTCCTACCTCACTTATTTGCCAGGTCTAAAGGTACAAGGGCTGACCACTCATCACCCACCCTGTATCTGTCCCTTGGTGGAACTTGCTAATAAGCGTTTTCCTCTTACCCGTCTTATTTAACAGATTGCAATGAATAAAGTATGTTTAGGATCTCCACCCTTTTAGCAAAATTAGCTGAAATTGTCCTACTACTTTTGAAGTGTTATTAATAAGGTTTACACCATAAATTGTCTCATTTACCTTATGAATCCAAACTTTGAAAGGTAATTTTAAAAGGATTTGATTGTTCGAAGATTACTATGAGATCTTTTGGAGTTCTTGCAGAACAAAATCACTTGTTTGTATAAGCAATTGGTTTACGTTTTTAAAAATGTGCTTTGTTTGGTATCATACATGGATGTTCTACTTTATCTTGTAGATAATATTTTCAATTTTAGAGAGCAAGTAATATTTTAGAATCAATGTATCAAAAGGATTTATTTTTCAATAAATTTTTGTGTATTGTTTTCCTTCTCAGAGACTAAGGCTCCATTTGGGCACGGTTCTTCTAGCTGCATGTGTGCATAGCTTTCTCCTGTATTAGATTACAGAACTGTAGGACATGTCCAGAAATCTGTGACAGACAGTTGCAAATTGCAAGTTAGCACTAAGTTACATCACTGATTGTGCCTAGTCAGTGATATGAAATGTTCCAGGCTACTGAAAATATATTCATCTGAGATTTGCTGAAATTCGAAGGTAGGATATATGAAGAAATTTGAAAACGTTAGTGGGAAATCAGCATAATTTTCTGGCTGATGAGATGCATCGCTGCCTTTCCCATCAGGACTGGCACATTGCTGTGAGAAAGGCTGTACAAACATATTTCAAGGGAAAAATTATTTGCATGGTGTATGATCTTCCAAGGAAATAGAGAACAAAAACTAAGACAACGTAAAAGTGCTGTACAGGTGGTTCCTTGTAGTCTTTACAACAGCTGCTATAATTGGACCCTATTTGGAGCTAGGTCTTTGGTCATTTCTGTAATTAAATATTAAGCTTCTCTTTGGAAAAACTTTTCTGACTTCAAGTGTAAGGCTTTTCCTTGTTTGAACATGAAAAATGTTAAAACAATTAAGTGTAACTTCTGGGTTTGGAGTCAACACATCAATTGTACATGTCAGTTGTACAGGTCATGCTGATAGAGGTTATTAATCTCTAGTTTTTCTTTGTATGTGTTCAATTTACTCTGTAGATAGGTGTTTATAAGCAGTTTTGCCTTTTTTCCCCCTTCTAAAGTAATTTGTTTCTTTATCTCTTTTTCTTTCTCTTAGAATGCTTCTCAGTGTCCAACATCTATTTTTTTCTCTCGTTTCCTAACATGGTTTGATTTCCCGTCTTTTAAACTTGTGCGTTTTCAGGCTGTCTTGTGTCCCTGATGTAGTGTTGTTCCTGATACACAAAGGAAAAAAGGAGTGACTGTATTCACCTCTGGGTTGGCTTTTTCCTGAAGTTCTCAAAGGGCTATGATAAGGCTTTGTGGCACTTCACTGTCCTGAGTGTAAATAAGTGTGGTGGACACAGAGAGGTCATAGGGGTTCTTAATGTGCGCACACACGCACACAAAATCTTATTTCTCTAAAGAACAAATGGATTATAACTATTACCACATCAGCTGAATATATATGGAGCATACATAATGTTATGTAGGTAAGAAATACAACCTGTATGGGAGTATCTCAGTGTTGTGCACAGCTTGCTTGATGACTCTTTTAGGCTGTTATCATCAAATGTGAAATACCACTTGCTAATTTTCTTTAAAATACCTCTATATGTTACATCCTGCCTCAGTGGTACCTTGATTTGCTGACAGAAAGTACTGGGTGGAATGGAGGTAGCATGTGGCAGCCATGTCCTGCCCTTGCAGAATATGGGTTGAATTCCTAGGACTGCAGTAACGGTGTCATTTGAGTTTTTTTACTTTTTCTAAAACTACTTTTAGCTTTGAAAGATGGAAATACCCCATAGGTAAAAGTAAATAAACAAGGAACTGCAAATATTTAGGTATTACATTCTAGAAGGCTATAAGGAGCATGTTGTTTCATCTGCTTAATCTTGTTCTGTGTCTTTATTTTGAGGAATGATTGAGGAGCATTTGGAAAGAAATTTAGGATTTAAATTTAGAATTTAGAAATATTTTCCACACTCTGTTCTGTTTTTCATAACCTCTGCACTACCAATTCCTGTCCTTCCTTTGTTCCCTCCTAAAACAAAATCGGTCTATATATTTGAAAGATGCACGTTCAAACATCCAACATTAATTTTAAGAGTTAAAGTGGAAATGGACAATTTATTTTAGTGGAAATTGATAATTTATTTTAATTTCCATTTAAAAATTATTCATTTCTAACTTGCATGAAACTTTTTTGTTTTTTTGCAGAGACGTGGAGCGATTTCCTATGACAGCTCTGATCAGACTGCGTTGTACATTCGTATGCTAGGTAAGCATGCTAGTTTTATATTGCGAAGTTCTAGCATTTATGAATGAATTAAAATATTTTTTATATATGTAGTGGAGCGTTATCATTCCCTTTCTCCTGGGTAATAGTCTGGTTAGATTCTGTAGAAAAATTTGGGTTGTTTTGGTTTGACTTGGGTTTTTTGGTTGTTTGCCTTTTTTCTTTTATCTTGAGTTAACCATTGTGTCAAATGTTTTACTCCTATATTAAAAAAAAAATCCAAAAATCAATTCTTACAATTAACATAAATTGTTTGGTAGAAGTTTAGTTTTCTGAGTGACTCATGATTGATCTTTAATTCTATGATGGAATTTGCCACCTCTGCATGGTATCCTTCTGGTTTAAACTGTAGCTTTTGAGAACGTTTGTGTGTGAGATTTACCACACGCTTCTAAAAACTTCAGTACTGAGGCTATGAAATGCTCGAGGTGTTCTTAAAACAGTATGATTTTAAACAATATTTGTCTTATTAATCCTAGAAGATGACTTGAGAAGGGAAAGGATGCATGACGGCCAGTAGTTTAGTCAACTCACTGAAGAACGTTTCCAGAGTAGTGACTAGGGAAAGGGAAAAGCTGACTTAAAATGAAAGAGTCGTATTTGGAGGGACAAGCATCCGGGGGACACCCTCTGTGATAGTGGGTGCACAGAAGGAGGATTTGAGCTCAGTCATTGAGAGGAGAAAGATGGAAAGCCCTTACAGATCTGGCTGCCGGATTCAGTACTTCCCGCACTTCTTCTGGAGGCTGCTGGTGGTGCAGATGGCATGGGGACTGTGTATGTACTCCAAGTCTGTTTCACTGCAAAACTATGCCACTTCATTTAAGCCATCTTGAGCTATGATTTTGTGTTGAAATGGACTACGAATGCTTGCGTGATGTCTCGCATGGCTCAATGAACATCAACAGCTAGTTATTATAAATCCTTAACTGGCTCCAACTAGATCAGCCAGAACATGTCTTTTTATGCCTTGAGTCTTTTCAATTTAGTTATAGGTAGTAAAGTCCCCAGAAGTTCATAACTGCGTCCTTTAGTAAGCTATATGCGTGTGTACACATGTGCGTATCTGTATGAATTTATTGTCGTAACCTACGTATGTGACATACGTGCACGTATGTATATATAAATCCAATTTTGACTTAGCATCTCCAGATTTTTGGTTTTAAATTATTTTGATTTTTTTTTTTCAGTTTATGAAGTTGTTAATACTATAGCACTGGCTGCCTACTGAAGGATTTTTGATAAGAGAATGTAATTATTTTAAGAGGAGGAGGACAGAAATGCTTGCTTCTAAATATTTATTGAAAAAGGTGCTGGGTGTTTTTTGTTGTTGGAAATAAACTTATTTCATTTTCAGAAGTTAAAATTTAAGTTTCTCATTTTTAGTCATCCTTTTTCAGGATGAACACTAGAATTCTTGAAAATGTGTTTTTTTTAAAAGAAATGTTTCTTTTTTCCTCCTCTAGTCATGAGAATAAGCAAGTAAATTCAGGCCTGAGCTAGTTTTATTTCCTTGATTTTTGTGATTTTTAAAAAAAAATTATATTTATTTTCTGCTATAATTAGAAAATAGATTTTTTTTTTTCTGCTTCCAAATCCTGCAAATTGAGTACTTTGTAATTCCCTTGTTGGGAAATTCATATTAATTTTTAAGATGCACTGATATGCTTGAATTTAAGATACTCTTAAGTATATGTCTGTGTTTTTTGTCTTTTTAAAATTAATTTGCTAGTGGTAGAAATTCAGCTTGTAAAAAAATAATTTCTGGGGAGAATAATCAGATTTCTTTTGCTGCTTTGGAAGTTTAACAGTGCTATGAAGTAGTTAGGCCCATTGTTTCTGCAGAAGGGTTTGTGATAATGCTCAAGTAAATCCAGAGGAAGGCAAAGCATGGCTTCCTGTGGTTCTTGGTATATGCACTTGCACTGAGGGAAAAACCTCATTTGTTTTGAAATCTTTCTTTGACTGTTCTCATAGGCAGAACTGGAATATATTCAGAACGTGATGTTAAGTAAATTAAATTGTGACTTGTTCTCTAATTGGAATTAATTTATTAGACTACGTGATTGGCACTTGTTATGGATAGCATAACTCCTGGTGGTGTTGGTTGCTGTTCAGTGGTACTTGCTGTTCACAGGCAGTAAGTCTTTTAAACAAAATGACTGACCTCTTCTAACTTGGGTTGGGGGAGGAGGGTACCAACAAACAAAAAACTACTCATTAGGTGTTTGAATCACTATGTTAAATTTGCATTACTTTCTCATTTGGTAGTGATCTCTTTGTTTTCCTGAATGTTATGTATGCTACACTGTATAAGTTAGCGACTATTTACAGATTTATTGCTGTTGTATTCGTAAATGGACTGTAAAAAACCACCAGCCTGAAAGCTGAACAGTTGGACGCATCGGTGTGTAGAAACATTCTGATCAGAGTAGATTCAAGAATGAATATAGTCAATAAGAATTTTTTGCAAGACATGTGGAATACTGCATTTCCCATACAGTATTGTGAGGGTGGGATTTTCTTTGGTGTTTTTTGTTTTGTTTTGTTTTTTAGTTATTCATCTTAGTACACTTTAGCAGAGTAAGCTGTAAGGAATCTTCAGCTGTAACTTAGTGAGAAGTTAGGCAGAGTCATGAGAGGTTTTGCCCTTTACTTGGTTATTATTCCAAATGGACTATGTTTACTAATAAGCTGTACCCCTATATAGTATTTATTTTGACAGATTAAAGCTGTGGTTATCTAGGACACCTCCCTCTGCCTCTGTTTAGTTGTCCTGGCCATAGAGTTGCTTCCTTTAACGCTTTAGGCTGTTGCAATGCGAATCCAATGGAAATTCCTTTGCATAAAGTAAATAGAAATTCCTGTGGTATGGCAGTATTTCCAGGTTCAATTTAAGAGATCAAATTTTAGGGGCACACAAAATAAACAACTGACTCTTAACTGTCTTCATCGGTGTCGATATAAACAAACAACGTTGACTCTAATGACTCATCTGTCATACCCCATTCCCAAAATATATTTACTAAGCCACTCCCAAGTGCCTTATTTATGATTTGAAAATATAGATACAGATGCAGCATTGTAGAATTTTTCTTTTAAGACCTTGGAAGGGCTAATACGTCTGCATCACCTCATTCAGCTACTTCTCTCAGCAACTATGAGGAATTCTCAAAATTTCTTGTAAGTGCTTCAGTGTGATCTTGATACATTCTTGATTTTTCTCTTCTTTGCTTTTCTGGTTTGTTACTGTTTTATATTGCCTGAAAGTTTTTCTGCTGTGCATGGGGTGGAA